CAAGGCTGCATTTATTTGATCAAAAATACAGAAAACAAACAGTAATCTTGCGAAATGTTATTACAATATAAAATAATGGTTTCTATTTTAATATCCTTTAAAATAGAATTTATTTCTGTGATGCAAAGCTGAATTTCCATCAGCTGTTACTCCAGTATAAAGTGTCACATGATCTTCAGAAATCATTCTAATATGCTGATTTATTATTAGAATTATCAACAGTTGTGCTGCCAAATATTTTTTTTGAAACTGCGATATTTTTTCAGGATTCTTTGATGATTAAAAAGTTAAAAACGAACAGCATTTATTCAAAATATAAATCTTTTCTAACGATATAAATCTTTGCTATCACTTCTTAACAATTTAACACATCCTTGCTGAATAAAAGTTTTAAGTTTTAGAATAATTATGCCTGTTTATTTTTTACATAGATGTATTTCTCTAAAGTTCAATACTCTCAAATTAATTAACAGCCATTAAAACAACATTTAATTATAATTTAATTATTTTATACCACAACCTAGAAAATTTAGGATTATTTATTCATTACCTTTATTATTATTTTTATTTTTTTCAAATTTAGAAAAACATCTAGTTGTTAAGTCAGTGAAATGCAGGATGACAAAACATTTTTTATTTATTTAAATATCAGAGAATTTTATTATCACCTACAGCACCACAAAATGCCACCACATTGTTTTCAGGTATATAAATAAATATTTCTCCATTAATATATAACATAACTGACCAAATTAGGAGCATTCTAGGAAATGAAGTGTTCATTTGACATGATTTATTAAATACATAAATTAACTACAATTTTAAATGTATTATTAATAGCATGTAATGTTCATGTATTTGCTGTTTATGGGTGATTCATAATAAAAAAAAGTAATATATTACTAAAAACTACTTTCATCAGTTATGTGAAGTTATTTATTTAACTTAAATTTTACATCGTTACATTTTATTTTTCTTCATTGCGTCATCCGCCTCAGTTCAAATTCGTCTTTATAAAACAGAGAGTTCCGGTCCTTGATTCTGATTGGCTGAGCCGTGTTACATTACTCTACAAAGTAACATACACCTTTGTTTACGTTTGTCTGTTGCTCGGCAACCACTTTGTTACAACCACAACTGATTCTGAGGAGCTACATTGTTTGGTGGAAGAATACTGTTTTTATTAATATCATTACACTTTATTTGCTCTGTTTTATTTTGTGAAACCTTACTACGTATATGGAATAACCGTTTTATAAAAGCAGTAAACCCCGTGAAGCCGTGGTTTACAGTGAATTTAGAACAGCTAAGGGGCTTATTGCTTTATTTTAATTCGGTTCTGAATTAAACACTGGTGTTTGAGGAAGCTGAGATTTTTGTGCGCAGTCTGAGCTATTGATGCGATTCGTTCGGAGGTGTAACGTGTTTCTGCTGACTCAAATCCTGCTCTGGGCTTTTATTCTGCCGAACTCAAAGCATCAGCTCAAGCTGAACTAATCTCACTTCTGCTTCAGCCAACAATCACACACTCACACTCAGATATTCAAGCTAGGGATGTGCAAAGTGACATATCTTTGTAATTATCTGGTCTTTCTAAATGACTAGTTCATAAAAAAGTGAGATGCAGGATGACAAAATAACTTTTTAT